CCCCATATACTCTGCTTTTGGAGCTGTATGGGTCCGTCAACTAAATTAGAGCCAAGTTTGACAATAAAAATTTTTCCCTCCCCTGCTCAGCACCCGCTCCCTTCCCCCCTTAGCCAGTGGATCTGGGTGGAGAACAAAGAGAACCCCCCACCCCCACCCCACAATGTCCCACACCCCACCCCACAATGTCCCCTACCTCACCCCTCTGACTCCTCCACAAGATTAAGGAACCATCACTGTTACCTGTCCAGGGCTCTGCTAAGGCCAGTTTCCACAGGACCATGGGAATGTGGGTTGGCATCTCCTAATGGTCTGAGCAGGCTGGCTTGGGCTGGGCAAGAAGTTTAAGGTCTAGGCCAGGCTCCATCTCTGCAAGACCTTGGGCACTTTCCACCGCACTCCAGGCTTCCGGTTACTCTCTGGAGGGAAGCTGTCTCCATCTCTTCCTGCTCCTACACCCCAGGTGGGCAGGGCTGTGCTGCACAGTGGCAGCATCCAGGAGTGGAGCCCTACCCGGCCAAACAGGGTGTGTGCGGGATCCAGCAGTGGCTGCCGTCCTCCCTTTCCCCAGCTCAGTCCCCGGAGGCTGCAGGCCGAATGGGCACCTCCTCTCCTGACCCTTACTTTAAACTGCAGACATCCCTGGTCATTGCATACCAGGAATCCAGGCACCATGGGGACTGGGATTCTGCCCTGGAGGAGATTATCATGGAGAGAAAGGGGGCCACCCCGACAGACACCTCATCCCAAATGTGGTGTGAGGAAGAGGGTGATCTTTAGTCCTGGATGACAGCAAAACATTTTGGAGGGTTGGGATTTGAGCTGGAGAAGTGAAGGGTGAGGATGGGGACAGCACACCACAGAGAGAGGACAGCCCCCCACAAAGGTGGGTGGATTAGAAGGATCTTGGATGCTGCATCTTGGAACTCAGACTTCATTCTGCAGGTGTCGGGGTGCCTTACAATACCACAGGGAAACGGGGAGAGGAACACAGGCCCACCAGGGTGAGCAGCGCTCACGGCTCTTAGCCATCCCGCAGTCTACAGGGCCCAGGGAGGAGAAAGAGAGAGCTCCTCCACGATTTTAAGATTTTCTCCCTGCCTGTCTGAGCGCCTCCTAGGAGACACCTAGAGCCTGTTCAGGCGAGGGAAGCAGGATAGTCAGACATATGATGGTAGAAAGACATATCAAAGAGCAGGACACTTGTAAAAGCCAGAGGTGCACAGAGGGACTATGAAAGCTGTTTCCCACATGTTAAGGGCTCTCCAGTTTAATTCTCATGTGCACCTTTTAAAGTGTAACGACCAGGCCTGGACATTATCACTGTGCAGCTGATGGATAGGACAGGGAGGCAGTTTTTAGTTCAGACAAAGGA